TCATATCACAAAAAAGTATTTATGAAAGAAAAAAGTCTGAAACCATCGATAGTATCGATAGTTTGCGAACACTAGCTTAAAGATTTAAGTGAATTCCCCTTTAGCGCGTACAAACAATTTTTACTGGTCAAAGCAAATGTGAATAGCACTAATTTAGGGGAATACCCTAAAAATTCTTGTTTTTCACTAATTTTAATAGGTTTTGGAGATTAGGAACAAATCACCCATTTTTGTATAAGATCAATGTCTTTTTTTACACGTTTTTTTTTGTACACGGTTTTTTCTGGAACCAATCTCCGTGTAAAAACAGACTTAGGTGTAGTATAGTCTTACGAAAAGTGGTTGAATTATAAAAAAACATTAAAATTTGTAAGCATTCATCGCTTGCAAGATATACAAGCGCGTATTGCAATGTAATTAATATAATTAGAGATATTAAGTCTGGTTGAAAGAAATCAACTGGAAATCGCATTGATCAGTGTTAAGCGAACCAGCGACTGTAATTGTTATCGATTAAGTATTATCAAGTGATTCGATCTGTATTGTTATGATATAATTACGATCGATATTCATAAATGCATCCCTGGTTACGTAACGCGTTTTGCCCCTCTACCGTCTTCGCGAATCTTCTTTGCATCATTTGAGCGGCTCACTTGATTCGAAATACCTGACAGGTTGTTGGCCGTTTGACCTAGACGCCGAGAAATGTATAATATATATATATATATATATATATATATATATATACATTAATCACCCATGTTTACACAAACACCTGTACGTGTGTTTTTCTATCGTATATTTTAGCATAATTTATTCAATTGTAATATTATGTTATACGAATAACAATTGAACATTTGAATCAACAACACAAGTTCTAAGATGAATATTTGGATTCGTGTCTATACATCATTATATTTATACTTCGAAAAAATCTTATTGAATAACAATAATTTAGCTAATAATATAGGTACATATGTATTCAATTAATCTGTTGGTGCATTGGTACTAGAACTTTCAAAGAGCTTTTCCTTAAAATTATTACATATATTGAAACAGGCAATGAATATTCTGCCATTAATTGACTCTATTACATTTATGAAATAAAATATTTGAATTGACAGACATTCAATCAAGGTAATATTGTGACGATTGTGATGTTTTTCAGGCGATAATATCAATTATACAGAAGATAATGTTAATTATCGTCACAATATTCTTCATTTATATGTTATAATTTAACCCTTGCAGCTGTGGACTGTATGAAACACTGATTTGTTGATAATTTATGTATTTGTTACAAGTTCTTATTACACTAATGATTTGTCACTAAGTTCTAATAAAAGAAGATATATTTATTGATTATTTATTAAATATGTTGTTACCCGATCCACATCCGCTACTCCCTCTACAGGGTAGCAACCATCCGGTGTTAAAGCTCAATGCCATGAAGATTGCTGTCTTCATGACTAGTATAATAAAACGAAAATACGTCCAAACATCATTTTCTTGACCAATTTAACCGAAAATGAACAAATTGTAAGATTTGCATCTTTTTAGTTAATATTTGCACTATTGATTTTCATTCTCTACCAGAGACATTGCTCATTTTCTACACCCATTTTAGAGAGAAAAAATGTAGTTTCCATCTCGAACGCAGTGTTGATGGTAAAGATATAGATTTTATTTATACCTCCAACTTGAAATTGAAATACATTACTCACCATCAGATGCTATAAAGCTTTTTTCAATCTTGCAGTAGTGATATTTATCTTATTTTTTTAACTATATGTTTTTTTTTGATGCTCAGAATATTTTACTTCAGTTTGTATGCCTTGAGCGTCTATTGGCCATTTGCATCTTTTTAACCCTTTCGCTACGAGAGTGTATTCCCCAGGAGTGACACTGCTATACAAGCTAGCAAGCCTCGAGAGTCTTTGCTATACGGATTATTTCAAAGTTCATCATTATCCATGAAAATATATACAAAAATAAGAAAATACACTTCTTACAAAAAATACAATAACAAGTTAGAATTTTGAAAAATGCAACTAGTAGTAAAAATTGAAGCAATAGTCGACGTACGATTGTCGTCTATAGGCGACACTCGTACACACAGGTCGTCAAGCTGATTTTGCCTATAAGCGACCATTAAATGCAAAAAAAAGTTTGAATTTTGCAGTAGTAATAATAACCTTGAATACTATGAACTCTACAAATATTTATTTTTGATGCTCAGAATATTTCACTTCAATTTATCTGTCTTCAGGGTCTTTCGAGCATTCGCATTTTCTCCGCAGGCTGTACAAGTCAATCAGCCGCTCTAGTCTTTGCTATACAGTTTAAGTTTATCCAGTCATTATCAAATGTATTTAAAAATTAAAAATTACAGTATTTAAAAACTAATAATACAATAACCAGTTAGAATTTTGAATTATTCAACTAGCAGGACATATATATATTAAAGCAATGATCGACATACGAATGTCGTCTATAGGTGACGCAGCGAAAGTGTTAAATTTTTTATTGAATTCAGAATAGAAATGTAATGAATCATTTATATTATTGACAAGAAGTTTAAACGTACAATAGTGCAGTTGTCGATCATAATTATTATATTCTGTTCATTTTTTTATAATTTTTATTATAAATTTTGATTATAATTTAGAGTCTTACGACAGCTTTTTTGTTAAAAGTAAATTAATAAATTAATAGAATGGATGTATACACAATAATATATAGTTATTATATCAATTGTTAGCAAGGATTTTCGTAAATTTCATTTCTTTAATTAATATCTCTTTCCAATTTTATACTTGCCATACAAATTGGCAAGGAATAGCAAATTATCGCATGACAGCTTTCCGATATCATGACAAATGTAATGAGCAATTTTCTTGCGCGCCAGGAAGGTGCAAATTATTATCATAATTTTTCAAGTAATTCGATTTTAAATTAGGTCGAGTATGATGTATATGGCAAAACCAGTTTATGATTTATAGTTACAACATAATAAATCGATAGATTAAATTATCGATATTGATTATAAATAATTATAATTGAAATTCAATTTAAATGTTTTTTATTGTGCTTGTAGTATTTACTTCTATTCTAAGGATTTAAGCAGGCAAATTTAGTGGGATTTCTATGTACGTTAGTGGTTAGAGCTTTGGTCTTATTAGAATACAAACAAATTAGTATTACAGATATTTTATTAATAATATACACAGGCCAAGTGTTGGGTTGCCCTCTAGAATAAGCCACACAACAGTTCATAGGACTCTGATTTCTGTATTATGAAAAAAAAAAGATTATTTTAGTAATAAACCTTTGTTTATTGCGAATTGGCGTGAATCACATTTATTAACATATATTAAGAGTTAGACCAAGATGCTTTTATGGAAAACATCTTCAAAACAAGAAATAGTGTTTACGTAATGTCTATCCATATATCACTAGACTTCAAAATTAAATCGAGTTTGTAAAAACCGAATTAATTATATATGAATGTTGAACAGGTTTTACCAATCAACGATTTTCATTGATATAATGAAATATATATATATATATATATATATATATATATATATATATATATCAATGAAAGAAATTATAAAATATTTATTATTTCCATACGTTTTTTCATATTATCTTATGTCTTCTACAGCGGACTACATATCGAATTTCAATTTGTTATTGAATTGCGATTGAATTGAATTGCTAATTTTAGTTAGATTCAACAGTTTTTTTGTATTTGTTTGCCCCCTGGCCGTTCCATTTTACACCAGCTATGATGTACAAAGGACCAGGTGAAAAATTTTTGAAAAACAGCAAAAAACACATATCACAGAGTCAGATAGTTGTTTGTCTGATATGTGTTATTTCTTGTGATATAATTGATTTCGTTTTCACAATAAAATTGATCAAGTTAAATTGGAGCTTTGTGCCCGTCCTATCCTATATATATTTTCTGTCTGAATATTGTGCTAAATAGTGGATGGTAGAACGTTATTTTAGACTAGTTTTAAAATTACGTCATTATTAACAACAAAATAATAAAATCAGCAAAGATCTTAATAAGAACTTTGAGATCTTATACCAGTTGCAAATTAATTATACCACACAACGTTTTTAAGGAAACCAATATTTTGTAGGTAAATGGGAATAGAAAGCAATATGTTATATTCACAAAGTTAATAAATATCCTTTCATCAACGTATTCTTGTTAGAGAATGCGTTTTATATAATGTCTTCTCATTCATATTTGATCAATGCAATACAAAATGTCAACAGGTTGACATAGACGTTGCGTCACAGTGTGTGAGATGAACTGTGCCTTATGGAAACTCAGAATGACGAATCTTATAAATTAACTAAGGAACTATTAAATTGTTTAACTGACCTTTCGATTGTCATAAAATACAATACTTTGTAATCTTATAAACCTAACTTATTTCAAGGCAATTAGCCGGTATGATATTGTTATAAAATATTCATTTACTATCATTAGTATAAGTAAGAAAGTGGATTGTTTTCTAAATCAAATAAGTTACACGCATGGATTTTATGAAGACTTTTTAATTATTAATATTAAAAATTATGTTTTAACCTTCTCTATATTGATTTAATTAACCCTTTCCACTCGCGAAATCCAGAATTAATACGTATTTTGCCGCTGGAGGGGCGGCATCCGAGTGGAAAGGTTTAAAATTAAAATATTGTTATGATTTACAAATTAAAAAAAAATCGTTAAAAGGTTGTAACGATTTTTTGTGGTTTTTATATCGTAGGTGAACCAAAGATGGCATAGAGATTTTTCTTATAAATAATAATTCTAAATATAATAAGTAACTGATCGAGTACGTCTATATTTGAATTACATGCTGTTAACCGATATGCTTCTAGATCGTCTCGGTTATGTAGGTTACGTAGGCTAGGTATTATTTTTAATTTTGCCATGTATTGTAAGATCTTGTTCTAAACGTCCTTTCCTCTTTCAGACGCAAGGTCTTCGCGAAGAAGCCACCCACCCAAAGAAGAAGCACCTTGACGCTGTGAGATGACAATAACTGCTTTGTTACCGAACACGTGATTCACTGAGCGACAGGAGTGCGATCGACGAATCATTATTTGAATATTTATGAATACAAATGAAACCAAAATGACGACTGTGGAGAAAACCGATTTTGTGACGGTCGTCTCCGTTGAAGCACCTAAAATAACGAGCGCTAAAGCCCAACTGCCAGCGCGTACGAACGAAAACGAACCATTTGTAACAGTTCTGTCCATCGGCAGTAATGATAAACTAAAAATCGACATAAACAAAGAAAAACCGCACATCGAACAAGTTAACGTTTACAGACTACCAGGCGAACGTTTGGGTTTCGGTTTGAAATTCGAAGGTGGAACCAAAAGCGCGGAATGTGTTAAGAATTTGTACATACAAAGTTGTGCACCCGAAAGTCCCGCTTCTAGAGTAACTGCCTCATGGGGAGGCTTAGGAGAAGGTGATGAAATCATGGCCATTGGCGGAAGAACTGTAGAAACAATGACAAGAATAGATTGCGTAAGAGCTCTTAAAGATTCTCCTGTAGTTATTGAGCTTATGGTCAAAAGACGTCCAAAATGCGGAAGTAATTTATCAGATAAGCAGAATGAGAGAAAACTTTTAGAACCACCGCCACCGCCTCCGATACCGCCCCGAAAGATTCCTAAACGCGGAAATAAAAACGGAGGTGTAGTAGTGCCACCGAAAGATTTTGCAGACAGAGATGATGATAAAGGAAAAGCATCGCCGAAAAGAATGGCCTCTTCTCCACTTGTTTCACAGAAAAATTTGGCAATGAAGCAGCGAAGGAGTTCTAATGATAGCGGATCTATACCCCCAGAGGCAGAAGTTTATTTAAATCTAATTGCCCAGGAGGCGGAAATTCAGAGAACAGAATATGAATCTGATGATACCGGTAGTTCTATTTCAACAATTGTTGACAGATTGTCTTCATTTCCAGCAACATCTTGTTCAAGTATATGCGAGTCCACCAGCATACCGTCGACTCCAATTCTCGGCGCTAAAGAAATGGATAAAGTTTTGAGCCCTTTTGAGTTATTAGAAAAGGAATTTGCTACAAGATTTGATTCCGATTTAAAGAAATTAAATGGCTTATCAACACCTGGTAAATTATCAGATGAAATGTTGATGTTACAGCCACCAGTAAATTTTCAAGATGCTCCGTTGAGTTATGGCGATGAGGAACTGTCAGATGCTGTTAACGATAAAGTTGATATGCACGTTAATAATTTAGATATATCACCGCCGAGTTATGAAAATGTAATTATCAATGATTTAGTAAAATTGGATTCTACTCTAGATGAAGATGAAGTAGAGCAAGAGCTTATGTCTGGTCCGCCAAAACCTTTACCGAGAAACATAAATTCAGCTGTAAGCAGAATACCTAAAAGAAGAGCACCACCTCCGCCGCCTCCAAGAAGTTCAAAGAAAGAAGAAAACTCTAAGAAGAAAACAAAATTCAATAAAATTGAAACTTGGTTAAATGATACACTTACTAACGGTGATTCTGAGGAAGTAGATTTCATGGAAAATGGGCATGTTGAAGATTTAGATAATAATGAACATGAATCTGAAGACAATCAAGACGAAATAACAAATATCGAAGATATCGAAATCAAATTAGAAGATGATATTGATGATAAATTTGATGATGAAATAGAACATCTACCGCGATTGATTCACTTTTTGCCTAAAATATCACCTTTGAATACACCGATAAGCGAAAAACCGAACCCATTTAGCGATGACTTAGTAATAAACGACGAAGAAATTGATAATAACAATGCCATAATTAAAGAAACAATACTAAACATAAATAATAATACATGCCCGATGTATACCCTGAACGGATTAATTGAACCTCAACAATTAAAACAGACAAAGTTTACGGAGCCTTTCTTCATTTCGCGTAATTATTATGATGAAGAACAGCATTCGATGAATAATGCATTTAAATCATCGAACGATTCTGATGGATCATCTGGGTCTTCTGAAGACGAACTGCTAATTGACATTCCGGAAGGCCCAAGCGAGGCTTATTTCACATATTGGGGAGGATCGCAGTTACCCACAATTGGAGAAGATGAAGAAGAATATTCTTCTTTGGAAGCATCTGACAAAGGGTAAGTGACAATAAGTGACGGTAATAATTGATATTTAATTTTTTTAAACAAAATTATAGGTATAGACAATTTAGAGATTTAAGATTTTAAGATTTTCTCTTTAAATAAAATAAAAAGTTTGAGCTCGAGTTTTTTTTTAAATTTTCTTGATTTATTATAACCTAATTTAATTTATACATTAAAATTACAATTGCTTTGTTAATAAGAACCATCTAGATTAAAAAAGATAATTTCAATAACTCATTTTCAGTTATTATTTTTTATTAAGAACGAGTCACCTTGAAACGAGATAACAAACTATCATTTTATTTACTTAATCAAATTAGGTATAGAAACAATAAATTCACAATGGTAATTACTCTACGAGTTTTTGACTTTTATTACAATTATAATCTGTTCAGTATTATGAAGGCCTATATGAAGGCATACAGTAATTGTTCTGTTAATTTACCAGATGACAATGACAAGGAATCCTAGTAATAGTTATTTTTAGTTGTGGACCAAAACTTGTGGTATACGTCTCTCATTCTTAATTAGTATGTTGGACTAAATTATTTTTGTAGCAATGTTCCGAAAGCCTATTTTCACTTTATATAATATTAATATCTGATATCACTGCCGCTTGATGCCCAAGCTTAATTATCCTTTGAATAATTCAAAATAGATTAAAAGTTGAGAGGCCAATTCTCCGATAAAATGACAATATTATGGTAACTTTATGGTATGGGTCTATATTCATATGACTTGGAAGTAACAAACTGTCAAAAAGCTATATATTTGCTGTGCGATCAGGCGTTTTACACGTAAAACCTAACTTTACGTATGTGTTACCAATGTTACATCAGAAAGATGTCTTTAGGATAAAATAGTTATTTGACGTTTATGCGTTTTGTGGGTTAGGTTTTAAGTGTGGAGCACCTGGTCGCCCAGCAAATACTTACCAAGTCTTACATAGATACCCAAGTTTGTTTCTACCAAGTCATACATAGATACTCATTCATACGAAGGAAAGGTAACATTGAGTTACCATAATATTTTCATTTTATCGGAGAATTTATAACTTCTAGTTGAAATATGTTTGAAAATATATTGGCAATCAAAATATTTTTAAAAATCCGGGACAATCCGGGACTAAAACCTAAAACCGGGACAAATATTGCTTTTACAATAAACCGGGACGTAAGGCGGAAAATCGGGACTTCCCAGGCCAGTCCGGGTCACCTTAAGGGGGGCGATACATGTAATCGCCTTAATTTTTACCATTTTTTGAGGACTTTTTAAACTGGGAAGGAATAACTGAATCTTTTTGAATTTTTTTATGGTTATTTATTATATATTAAAATACACAAAAACATTTTTTTTTTATTTTTTTTTTTTTTAATGGCTGCCGTAAAAATAGATCTGCCGAGACCCTCTCGGAAAACGCCATCAATCTGCGGGCGTTCTCACTTTTCGTACGGTGATCTGAATTCAAAAAAATTAGTTTGTACGTATTCATAAAACATATATCTTCTAGTTAAACCAAAAAAAATTTAAAAAAGTCACAAAATCGTAAATTGGCAGACCTCAGAAAAAAAAAGTTCGATTTTTCACCATTTTTTCACTGTTTTTTTGGTAAAAAGGTTAATTTTTGAAATTTTTTTTGGAATGTTTGAGGTTTAACTAGAAGCTATTACTGTAAAGTAGATGTGTGCAAAATTCATTGGAATCGGTTGAGAACTTTTTGAGTTATCACGCCCGCAGTATTCAAAAATGTCGTTTTGAGAAAAACGCGTTTAAAGTTTTGACACAGAAACAGATAAGAGTACAATAGCACTCGAGCGTCGAGTTGAGGCGTGGCACTTAAATGAGTTTTTAATGTATAAATAATGATAATTTTGTTTTGAATTTTTGCAGGCATATTTTTGAGATGTTATTGTAACGATTTATGAAAAAAAAAAAATCGTTTTTTTTTTCTTGTTACATGTATCGCCCCCCTTAATGATATACATAATAACATTTATTGTTACATGTTACAATTGTTCTAAAAAATAATTAAACAAATTTTAATAATTACGAATATAATCTATACTTACAGTATTTCCTTATCTATGACTTAGTTTCTAAATTTATTGTTATTTTTAAAAACTGATGGTTAGTTTGTCCGTTACTTTATTTCATATAACTTAGTGCTCTATCTATAGACTTTGCGTCGTATTGCTCATGTTTGTATCTTTGCTAACACGAGGCGCGTTTGGCTTGCTGGTTGTAGATGGCTGGGCGTAATACTATTTCATTAAATTTGTAATTGGAGATGCATACACTTCAGGCTAATAAAACCACTCTCAGTTTAAACTTTTCTGCACTTTTCTTTTGTTTATTTTTTCTATTTTTTATCTTTTTTCATAATTTGTTATAACTTTTTTTATCACTATCAATTTTAATATTATATGAATAAACCAGACCATGCTTGACATTATATATCATAGTGAGATACCTTTTATGCTAGCATTATTGAACCTTATTTATTTTATTTTAAGATATAAATTGTTTTGAACTTTAACTTGAAAAATAATTTTTGGTAAACTTAATAATTTAATGCCATCATTTGATAAAGTTAATTAGCTTGTTTGTGATATCAAGATTCTTTCAAGTTACATATTATTTTTGATTTTTTTGAACGACCTTTCTACTTTATAATTTTTTGCAAATTTCACAGTTTTTAAAGAAAGAAATCAGTCAATCTAAAAACTGACTATTTGACTTTGTGAAAAAAATTGTACTGTTTGTTGATTAGATCGTTTGTAAAGTCAGGATTTTGTTTACTCCAATATTATACAACTACTTAAAGTAACATAAATACAAATTAAACGAACATAAAAATTCATGAAATATTTAAAAAAAAATTAAAAATAGTAGAAATACCTTGATTTTCTTCTTTCGACTGATGGTAAAACTGCTCTTCGTGATAACATCCACTACAAAAAGGATGTTGAGATCATCGGGTATGACTCTGTTGTTAACAAACTATGGGGCATCATTAAGATTTTGATTTGTAAGCGTTGTATTAGTCCCACATTTGATTTACTATGATATTTCCCACAGTTAGATTGTATAATTATACATAGCTTTTATTATCGTCTTATCTATTACCACCTTATTATTAAATTTGATGGTGAGAAAACAAGAAAACAAAAACTCAATTTAAAGCCTTAACTACTTCCCTGTAATATAATATAGTTTCCAGTTTATTAATTAGTTTGGCAACGTTATGCAGATTTTGTTAATCTCGATCCATGTGAATACCCAGATATTTCATGATACTTTTAATTGGGCTTTTCCATTTAACTTGGTAGACCAGTTCAGGATAAAGGCCTAATTTGAATTCGGCATGTTGACACAATGCCGAACAATCTAATAGTTTGACGAGTTAGGCTTCAAAGGTACCTTCTATGTAGTATATATTTTAGCATTACATTACCCAATAGGAAGAGATCACCATAGCACCCAAACTCGACCTCTGAAATACCTGTAATTACCTGTGGGAGGCTAGTAGCTAATAAATGAAATCAAGATCACTTTTATACTTAAACCTACTAAATAACTTGGAGAATTCATTGCATTGCCCAATACGAAGAGATTACCATAACACCCAAACTCGACCTATAAAGCACCTGTAATTACCTGTGGAAGACTAGTAGCTAGTAAATGAAACCAAGATCACTTTTATACTTAAACCTGCTAAATAACTTGGAGAATTCATTGCATTACCCAATGCGAAGAGATTACCATAGCACCCAAATTCGACCTTTAAAACACCAGTAATTATCTGTGGGAGGCTAGTAGGTAATAAATGAAACCAATATTACTTTTATACTTAAACCTACTAAATAACTTCATTCATTCATTGCATTACCCAATACGAAGAGATTACCATAACACCCAAACTCGACCTCAAAAACACCAGTAATTAGCTGTGGGAGGCTAGTAGAGCTAATAAATGAAACCAAGATTACTTTTATACTTAAACCTACTGAATAACTTGGAAAATTCATCGCATTGCCTAATAACGAAGAGATTACCATAGCACCCAAACTCGACCTCTGAAACACCAGTAATTACCTGTGGGAGAGTAGTAGCTAATAAATTAAACCAAGATTACTTTTATACTTAAACCTATTTAATAACTTGGAGAATTCACAAGTATTTGTGGACATGACTGTAATGGCACACAGTAATGTTCCCCAACTAATATTTATAATTACTATTTTACTCTATTGTGGATATATGGGGAGAATAGCTATAACCAGTACAATATACAACCTGTCATCAAGCTGGTTTTGTCTTTTTGTGGCACAACACACACAGCTATAAACTTAGGTATCCCTGGGTTGTCTCCTATTGGTTACTTATGAGCTACTGAAAGATCTATATAACTGGACCTCAAGAAATCATCTATTTTTGGACTTCAAGAACCAATACGTAAATTAAGGGTTGAAGGCGACAATATCCTTGTAGCCACAATAACACAGAAAAGATTTATGCATCATTGCATAATTAAACCATGGCGATTTTGGCAGTGTTAAAGTATTTATACTAGAAATTATATTATATTACAGGGAAGTAGTTAAGCTTTTAAATTGAGTTTTTTTCCTTGTTGTGTTTTCTCTCCATCATAGATTTTCTCTATTTCTAGGTATCCTAGATTAGTATTTGTTTTGAATTTCGCTTAGAGAAAACGGAAAAACGAACGCATATAACTTTTGTCTTCATAAACATTCAGCTAAATGCATTAAATGCGAACGCTGATTGTGCGTTATTGTGTACTCTATGGTTTGCTATTAAAATTCGCTCTCATATAGATGTCACAAGTTGACATGTATACCGTTGTCATACATACAAATTTGCAAGAAGCGAAAGCAAAACGAAAGCAATTTTCATAAATTATCTTCTAAATGAAATTATCCTGGTCTGAAGCGCATTCGTGACTTGTTTATTGTGACCTCTTGCATTTCCGCAAA